CCCCTGTGCACACTCTGCATGTTACACACACATTGCACCCCTGTGCACACTCTGCATGTTACACACACATTGCACCCCTGTGCACACTCTGCATGTTACACACACATTGCACCCCTGTGCACACTCTGCATGTTACACACACATTGCACCCCTGTGCACACTCTGCATGTTACACACACATTGCACCCCTGTGCACACTCTGCATGTTACACACACTTTGCACCCCTTTGCACAGTCTGCATGTTACACACACTTTGCACACCTGTGTACACTCTGCATGTTGCACACACTTTGCACCCCTGTGCACACTCTGATATCCTATACATTATAAGTATGTAGTTTCTGTTGCCACTTCACGGATTAAAAACATATTTGGAAGTAAAGTCACTTTTCCAATTGTCACTCAGTCCATACTGTTAGATTAATAGTGTAAATTCAAGGCTTCCAAACATTGAACCTTCCTACTTCTCCCCATGAATGTAGAAGGAAGCTGTGAGCCTGGCAAAAGAGGAAACATGGTGTCAGGAAGTGGGATTACAAACTTCCACACTAAAACTTCACAAAAGCTTAAAAAGGGATTTTTAGAAGCAAAAGAACAGAGACAAGCATGACTCTTGGTAGCAGCATTTTCTCGGGTGTCAGCTCCTTTAAGAGAGGCTTCCTGACTCAGCATAAGTAGCAAAAATTGCAAGGCTCTTTAGAGATCTTGCTAACAATTGAATGGTGTGTCCGAGCAGCTGGCAGTGGCAGTGACCACATCTCCAAGCCAGCAGCATGCTTCTTGGTGGCAGCATAGACCAAGGCAGTGAGCACAGCTCTCAGTGCTGGTGGTAAACATACTGATTCCATCTTGGAAAGACAACAGCTAAAACAGCTGCCACTTTAATTTTAGCAATGTTTAACAGATAAAAGACTTCGTGGCCAGAAAAAGGCAAAGATTTACAGTAAAGACAGATTCAGATGAAGAAAAACCTCTGAAGGTTAACAGAGTGTTTAAAAATATATGTAGGCTTGTGAGAGAAAAAGAAACAGGATAAAGGTAGTAGCCGGTGGTAGTGGCATACACCAGTAGGATTTGCTGAAGGAAGCAGAGGCAGGTGGATGTGCACAGAAAACCCCTGTCTCGGGACAAAAGAAAAAAGAAGGAAGTAAAAGAAATAGAATAATAAATAAGCCATGTAAAGATGGAAAATACACAGAGAGTCTGGATACTGCATGCTATATTGTTGTCTTTCAATTGTTTAATTGCTGGGGAAGGAGCAACAACTGCTAAAATACATTTGATTATAAACACTGCTGAATTAATCCAACTTAGATATTTTTAAAATGCTTTGACTTCTAAATTTAAATCTAAGGACAAGTTACTTAGGAAAAGAGTTTTTGCTAGTGTTTCCACAGAAAATGGAAAGGCATGGATTCCTTCCAGACTAATATGGCTTGATCAAGCAAGACCCCCTGAAGCAGTGGCCCAACTGATCCGACATCTAAAACACAAGGGCCTGGTCAGGTTTCTGTGTTTTATCATGATCCCCATGGTATGCACATTGTCCCCCCCCAAAAAAAGCAGGAAGCAGTTTGGAATGAAGGGCACCCAAATTCCCAAATATTGTTTATAAATATTTATTTTCATTTAAATGGGGTTAGTTATAAATGGTAATGATCACAGTCAATCTTTTTAAAGGAAAACGGGGAAATAGGATATAGAAATGAATACTTTGCATTGGTATGGATTTTCATTTATTGATACAAATTTAAGGTCAATTTTGTAATATGTAAATTTCTCCTCTTGCTTAGGTATTGTGTTTATACAGATCTTTTAAATGTAACCCATAATTAAATACAGATTATATAATCATCTCCAATAGTCAGAACTTATAATTAGGTTAGTTAGGTTTTCTAGATATACAAAGATGTATGGATAGATACTCTTCAGACCTTTCAAAGACCTACAGAATATATGGCATTTAATGGTTTAGGCTTTTTCATGACAATGAGACACAACTACTCCTGGCACACCAATTACGTCTGAGAGGAAGATGGGCATGGAAGAAACTCGTCAAGGAGTTTGCTTTCAACATGGCAAGATTAGCCATTTGGGCAAGAAACTGCTCTTGCCTGGACTGTTTGTTGCTGATTAAACTGGACATGCAGGACCCACAGGAAAGTGACTGCTGAACTTACAAAAAAGATAGACAGTCCTGAAGGGTTCCTGCTTCATGGAAGAGTCTGCCAGACAACTGAAGATGGATGCCCCAACATTACAGAGGAACTTTGGATGACTGACCAGGTAGCAAGATGTCTCTATCAGATCTAGAGTTTATACATTATCCTTCTGTGGTCTTGGATGGAGTTTAAGACAGATAGTTATGGTTATAGTTTCCTTTAGTTATTATAAAAGATAAGTTACATATAAGACCTTAGACTCACAAAGATAGTATAGATGACAGAGTGTTTTCTTTAAATCTTGCTAAATGTTAATGGACTAAATATTATAACTGTAGTTCTTACTTAATAACTCTTTTGTTATATATTTTACTATGTTAATGTTAAAACCCTTCTTTTTATTTAGACAGAAAAGAGGAGATGATGGGGGAGGTCCTTCTGTTTATGTTTGTCTTATTGATTGATAAATAAAGTATTGTTGGCCAATAGGGAAGCAAGTTAGGCAGGACTAGGAGTTGAGGAGGTGTGATCCAGGCAGGAAGTGACCTAGCAGGCAGACTCAGAATATTAGCAGAGACAGCAGGAAATCACTCTCTTCCTCCTCCTCCTCAGAGAATTCTCTGGAGTCTCCATGTGAACCCAGCAAGAGAGGACACGTGCTGCCAGCATCCTCAATCAGATAAGTCTTTTTAAAATATATAGATTAAGAAATCCTAATCATTGGCCAGTGGCATTGTAACTAACATAAGTCTCTGTGTGTTATTTTGGCCACACATGTGGTGGTGGGGCTCGGGAAGCTTGGCAGAAAGACTTATCATTACAGGAAGCCTCATCCCCAAGCCTTCCCTTGTTGATTCTTGCCACACTCTACCCTCAGTGATTCACCATGGCAGGGTGTGCTTAGAGACATAGACCCATTTATTTATTTGCTCTCCAATGCTATTTCCTTTAAGTCTCCTGAATGTTGAGCACATGCCAAAAGGAGCTGTTGGTGGCAGAAGAAAACCCTCTCCACTGGATCCAAGCCTGGGAGTTGAAGAACCTGGGCACAGAGAAGGAGTTTCCAGACCACACAGAGCAGGAGTTCAGAGCTGTCTGCAAATGTCAGGGATCAGGCTACAAGAGAAAATAAGATAAGACTTTAAACATAGGAACCAACCAAACAATTTACATAATGTCCTCCATGAGGAGGCCAGCTGAGAGAGATCAAACAACAAAATGGGACTGTAGTTGAGAGGATTGTGGATTTCAAGAGAGTAAGTTCAAGTCTCATGTTCACTGTAATATTCAAAACTCAGTGCAGTGAACTAGACATCCCTCTAATTGTATCTATCCTTTGTGCTTTGACCCTAGAAACCACAAAATAAATAACTGGGATAACAAATAATGCATACAGTGCCTTGCAAAACATTTTCAAATTCAGCATTTCCATTCTATAGATAGAGACTCAGAAAGTCATTCACCCATAGCCCTTACCCAGACAGGCAGCTTTACATTCAAAGCAACAGAGAATCCTATGTCTTTGCCATAAGAAATAGGGCTCAGTGCCCTTAAAGGACAATCCAGACAGAGGCTCTTGATTACAGTCCCCATGCCATAAGCCCTGACCTCCAGAGCCTTGAAGCTGAAAAGGTCTGAAAAGCAATGAGGTCTGTCCACCCCAGCCCACTCCTTACCTTTCTGTGGTGGAAAGCAGAGTTTCCCACACACACTCTGGCAGCACTTATAATCATCTTCACACTCCCCATCCCTCTCACAGGTACTGAAAGGACTTAACATCACACTGCCCATTTTAAGCTCTGGGCACTTGCCAGGCTTCGTCCTCACTGGTGACAGAAGAAGCACAGGTCAGATGTCTTAGACTTCAGCCACCACATCACTGCTTCTTTAACCCACCTTCTCCAGCCTGTGCAAGGAAAATCACCCCCATTTACCCCTCACCTCAATCACCTACTCCCAGATATGTCCCCTGAAACAGCACCTGGTTCCCCTCTAACATCTGCCTCCAGACAATGCAGGTGGCCAGCTGTCTGGTACTGAAAGGGTTGACTGCTTCCATCAAGCTGAATGCCCAGATGACTATTTGCAAAACCATTACAGAGTGGCTGCCTCAGACAAGAGGCTTTTCCTGCTGATGGCAGCATGATGCCTTGACTGATGCCATGTTGGATTCAACCACTCTTAGAAGCAAGCATGCCTAGGAGGACCCCTTCCCACAATCCCATCCCCTTAAGTGCTAGGTCTTGAGGTTCATTCCTCTGCTCCTGGGTCCTCTGCTGGCTCACCTGCAGTGTGGATGGGAAGAGGAACAGTGCATCTGTAATCACAATGAATTTGGCAACATCTCTAATTTTGGGGACATTGCCAGTCATAGTTTCACTCTCTTTTCTCCTGAAAGCAATTGAAAGGATTTTTAGGAGGGCAGGCTCCAGGTTTGATAGCATCTAAAGAGGATGTCAAGATATTAGGAGAGTATGGAACATCTAACATAATTCTTGGACAAAGGACCACTTTCCAGATATAGATCCTCATCCCAGGAGCCCACAACTTCAAGGGGGATTGCCCGCTGACCCCAGGAGAAAACAAAACAAAGTGAACAAATATGACAGGCTTGGTCAAACCAGACATGTAAACAGGAAAAACATCACAGACTGAGGACAAAAGGCACAGGGTTCCCAGTCAAGTTTGTCCACCTCAGGACTAAGCTAGATTACCAAGGACAGAAGGGGAGAGTAGGAATAATGGAGACAAGAGAAATAAACAGGAAGGGGACACACCTGTGAGATGTTGAGAACTAAAGCCAGAGGCAGAAACAGAAAGGGCAGGAACAGAGAGAGAGTGAGGCCTGGGTTGACAGGGTGGTTTAGTAATCAAGGGAGCATTCTTCCATGCCTTGAAGCCTCATAGGAACCTCTGACCCCAGCAAGACAGGGAAGCCACCAGGAAGTCCTGAGTAAGCTGGGGACAGCCTAGAGAAGGGAACACCCCCCAAACCACCAGGAGCCCTCACTTCTAACACTCTAGACAGTTTTGGGCCACAGTAGCTCCAACTCACATTTTAATGGTCCTTGCAAAGTCCAGGATGTCAAGATCTCCAGAGCAAGGAGCACCATGAAAGGGAAGAAGCTACTGGACTTCATGGTGAAGGCAGGGTGGCTCTGATGAGCATCCCAAGCATCACTATTTGTATCTTTACCAGAGGGTGTGGCTGCAGTGGGGTGTATTTGGTCATGTGCATGTCAGGGAGCTTCTTCTAGCCTTACAGGTCACCCATCCCATGAGAGGGGTGCCTCTCATCTGTGATTTGGGATATTTTATCTAACAAGCCTTCCAGTCCTTTTGGAGATGTCCCAGGTTGAACCAGTTACCTTCTCTGCTTCTTTGTAATTTCTCTCTGCTCCCTCCTCTAACTTCCTTATCTCAAAGAACTGTCTGCCTTCTACAATTCTCATTTATCCCTGAGAATCTTCCCTGTTAATAATTTAAGATAAACTTTCCCCCCTTTTACCTGTGGAATAGATATTTTGATTTCTTTATTGCACCTATTCTCATTCATGATGCACTCTGAAAGGATGAATAAAATTTCCAGTCTCCCTATATATTGTTTTGTTATTAGGAGGTTTTGTTTCAATGCTAAAAGAACTTCATTTCAAAACTATTATTTTTAAGGTTAAACCTAACAGAGATAAAACATAAAGTCCTAATATTACTAAAGCTACTAACTTATTGTAAACTGTTAAATATAATTTTAAAATACAAATTATTGGTTAGTCACATTATGAATTATCAAGTTCTTTAATATGTTCAGAACTATCTTTGTAGTCATGCTAAGTTTTAATGTAATCAATTCTTTACTTAGCCCCCTGGCATTTAAAATATTTAAGCTTCTCACAGTAGACAAAACTGCACCATGCCTTACTTGCTGCCAGGGACTTGTACAAACTTTGGGTTAATCACCCTGCTTTGTCTGGTCAAACATGGGGTCCCCAAGTTACTCGCCTGACAAAAATCTCAGACCCAGATCTAAAGTAATCTGTCTGATAATTGATCTCTTTTATTTTAATTGACATAGATCATTTAGAATATATTTCCATTTATAATTTATCCTTACCAGGTCTAAAAACAATTTGCCTTGCTACCAGATTCAAAATAAAAAATAAACTCACCAAACAGGTTTCAAAATAACTTACTGTTTTTACAGTTTCAATTTCTGTAATTAACTACCTTGTGTTAGTATTCAGGCATCTGAACCGGCCTGTCCTTGGGGTTCTGGCGGGATATGTCTTCCGTTGCAGCCACTAAGAGCTCCACCTGTGCACATTCACCGTGTTCCCATCTAAAAGGGCCCTGCCCACCTCCCATCTCTCTCTCTTCTCTCTCTCTCTCTCTCTCTCTCTCTCTCTCTCTCTCTCTCTCGTTCCCTCTCTCTCTTCCCTTCTGCCACCTCTGTCCTCAGAGACCAGTCTCCCCTCCCCTCCCCTCCCCCCTTTTCCCATTCACTTTCCCCTAATAAAAACCCCTGCATCCAAACGCTTTCACATGGCGTCTTTCTCTCTAGGGCCCCCTTTTTAAAATTACAACACCTTGTTTCTGAAATTTGTAGATGCAGCTATCTTACAAATTCATAAAATTTATTCTGATGTTTATTTTGTTCATTATGTGGATGATATTTTGGTTTCTAATACGGATAGATTTATTTACAGGCGATGTTACAATTTCTAATTTGACGGTTAGCTTTACATGGGCTTCAGATGGCCCCTTTTTTCCTAATTGGAATGCGTTGTTCACATAGACTTTGCTTCTCCACAACCTTTACAATTATGGGTTGATTTTCAAAAACTCCTTGGAGATATTTACTGGATTCATCTCTATGTAAAATTATCAACAGCTAAATTAAAACTTTTATTTGATATATTACAGGGTAATGCTAACCCTAAATTACCATAAAAGTTAACATCTGAAGCTAAAGCTTCTTGACTCTGTTAGAAGAAAAGACAAATTCTTAAAAGCTTCTCCACATGGATTATACTAACCCATGGAATCTTGTTTTGCTTGCCAGTAAATGTCCTCCTACAGCTTTCTTTTTTTCCTGAATTCCAAGTTTCATTATTTTATTTACCTACAGAAACCATCCCCAAAGCATCGGCACGGCTTGCCCAACTCTGAATATCTACCAAAACAAAACCCATTCTAGCATAAATATTTAAGTTCTAGCATTTCAACAGGATCTTCTTTAGCTGAAATAGTCAATAACAAATTTTGTTTTCTTCATTACATATTACTTATAAAATGCAGAAAGTAACATTTTAGTTATTTATAAAGTGTCTTTCAACAATTTTATGTATGGATCTCAAGTCTCGAAATAAATACTTATTAAAAATTTAATAGACACAAAAACATGTGACATCTTCTGAGGAAAATGAGTAAAATGCATTCTTTTCTTCAAATCATTTATCCATAGTAATGCAAGATGCAGCTTTCTTATGGCAACAAAGTCTTTAAAATGATCACATTTTGCCTGTAACTCATAAAATGATTATTACTGCTTATACCTCTTTGGTTGCATTTTTATTGGATAAAAAAGAGTAAAAAACATGACAAAATGTTCATGATATAATTATTCCTTATACAGCCAACCAACAAAATGCCTTCTCTGATGAGTCTAGAGAATGGCAAATTGCTCAGTTAGGCTACACAGACATTTACTTTTATCAGTTACCTGACCATCCTCTGTTAAAACCAAATCAGCTCCATTGCAGTCTTTCCTGGTGGTTCAGCCACAGACCAAGCTGCTTTGATTATTGATGATCGTGAAGAGTCCTTTCCTACTAGGAAAACCTTCACACAGAGATGAAATTAATACAAGTAATTACTGTTTTGAAAGGCTTAAGGACAAACCTTTTAACTGTATGCTGTAGCCCTGCCTCCTAGTAGCCCCGACAGGTGTGCTGGGACACGCCCGTGAGGGCGTGGTCAGGGGAGGTCTAAGGTGAACGATTCTTAAAGGACCGCACACACGTGAATAGCCCCTCTTTAGATCTGGCCCCTCTCTCTGGCCTGGCTGCCTTGCTGCCCCTGGCACGCTCTGGCTTGTGTTTGGGTTGGTGTTTATCTAAATAAAGAAATCTTAGCCTTACGGACTATGGATCATCTTTGAGCGCACGCGGCACGCAATAATCAGTATGCTGATTCCCAATAAAAGGCTGGATTATTTCCTCATATAGAAACTGCACCACTCCCTTCTAGCCACTTTACCGTTTTAAGTTTGCATTGAAAAATTATGTCTCCTGGTCAAGTTACATAGAGAAAAAATGTTTTAAACCATAAAGTTTATATGAAGATATAAAAGTTTAAGATATGAGTATTTAAAAGGATGTTTTAGGATCTAAAAATGACTTAAGATGTATAAATACAAATTATAAAGGTCTAAAAATAAAAGACCTAAATGATTTTTAAAAATGATTTAAGGTATATAAAAGAATGAAACATGTTTACATCTAATCCACAAGCATGAGTCAGAGAGAGACAGGGGGCTAACTGGGCATAGTGTGGATTTTTGAAACCTGAAACCCCATCCCTAGTAACATACCCCCAACAAGGCCATACCTCCTAATGCTTCCCCCAACAATTCCACCAAGCATTCAAATATATGAGCCTAAGAGGACCGTTGCATTTAAACTGCCACATGGAGTTTGGTTTAAATCCAATCCAAAGGTGTGGGTATTCCCATAACATCCATGCCACTATTACACCAGTGGGCATGTCTTTCCAGGCCAGTTGTTATTTTAGCTCACACGGTTTAAACTTGGGTGAGACTGGCGATTGCTCTTCTCTTCTGATAGCATGCACAGCACCTCCCAGCACTATGAAACCTAGACAGTTGGAATAAGTCTGTCGAGGGAGTTAAAATTCACGTCTCCGTGTTAAACTAGCTCCAAAGACTTGTCAGCATACCCATGCATTAGTGCACCTCTCGGCCCTCATCAGAGGGCCTTCCATTTGTAGTCGATGGTGACTAACATGTAGACCCACAACAGGTTAAGGCACAGAGAATACGACTGGAATGCTTGGTGGTAAATGGGACACTGCCATCACACCCCCCTCCTCCCGATGCTCAGGGAGCATAGAAGAGGGGTGGGAAAGACTGTGAGAACCAGAGGATGACTAAAAAGGATCAGTGAGTCTTCTGGACACAGCAGGACAGATGTACATAGGAACCCACAGTCGTTATGACAACATGCATAAGACCTACACAATATCAAGCCAGACGAAACCAGCCAGATGAAACCCCAGAATTGTAAAGAGAGATGGGCAAAAAGTCCCACTCCTTAGCTAAAGAGCTCTTGGCCCCTAGAAGCTGCTAGAAGAGCGAGAGTCATTCTTCTTAAAGATGAGGCCCCTGGCAGGTCCACCAAATGGAAGGCAACACATCAAATAGTATATGGACAGCACAAAATGTACTTGATGAGTTTTTCTTAAAAAGAAGAAGAAGAAGAAGAAGAAGAAGAAGAAGAAGAAGAAGAAGAAGAAGAAGAAGAAGAAGAAGAAGAAGAAGAAAGCACAAGGTTGGGTGGATAGGTAAGAAGGGTTGGATCTGGGGAGAGTTTGGGGGTGAGGAGTGGACATGATCAAAATGCAGGTTGCATTAAATCCTCAACTAATAAAAATGATGGGAGAAAATGTCTCTCAAGGGCAAAACTCTGCCCTTTGGAGACTCTAATCTTTAAAAGATCCAAGGATTTTTTTTAAAGGAGAATAGCCTAAAATGAAATAGCTTCTTCTCCTCCAAAGCAACTGCCTAGGAAAGTGTTTGCTGGGGTATAGCATCCTAAAACTGATCCAGGGACATCAGTCTACACTCCAAACTGGTGACAAAGCTTGGCAGGATTGTCCACATGGTATTGGTTGTGAAGACATTAAAGATGAAAGATTGAGGGGTCATGGGATCCTGATCCATAGTTCAGAGAGAAGGTAGGATCAGACAATGTGTTGCGGGCCCAAAGGCCCAGAGGCCCAGAGATGCAATTATGAGAAGGGGGAGCCTAGGGTAAAATGGAGACCCTAGGATACTGAGGATACCTGGATCATGGAACATCTGTCAAGTAGGGCTGTGGACATGGAGTCAAGCCAATCCAAGAGTCAGGCTAGTGCTTTTTATTTTATAGGAGATCACAATTAAAAAAGACTTTGGACTTTTAAATTGTTGGAATGGTTGATGACTATTAGGACTTTGTATATTTGACTGAAAGCATTTTTCATGATCCTATGAAATCAAGAGGTGGAGAATTGAGGTTTAAAAGTTGTATGTTTTGGCTTTTCTCTTACACGTCTCTCTCTTCCTCTTCTCCCACCTATGCCCTCTTCTGCCTTCCTCTCTGTCTTCTCTCTTACTCTCTGCTCTGCTCTTCCATTTCTCCCTCTCCCCCACCTGTAATAAACTTTGTCTAATGTAAAAAAAAAAAAAAAAGTTGTATGTTTTGTTGTCAAGTTGATAAGAACTCCAGTTGTGATAGTGGTGACAACTTGACAGGATCCAGACTTGTCTCCTGCACACCTGTAAGGGATTATTTCGCCTCTGGGCATACATTGCAGGTACTACATTGACTTGGGAAGACTCATCTTAAATGTGGGTGGACCATTCCCTGGGTGACGTACTGTTTAAGGTAGAGAACCTGAGTGAACAACTTCCATTACTCTGTTTCTTGACTGTGGATGCAACGTCATCAGCTGCTTCAAACTTCTACTGCCTCAATGTCCCCCAACACGAGGAACTAAACCTGGAAATGTGAGCCAAAATAACCCTTTTCTCTCTCTAGTTGCCCTTGTCAGGATACTTTATCACAACAGGAAAAGTGGCCAAGACATCCGTCTCTTATTTCCGTCCGGATGCTGAGGAAGGAAGGCACAAATCCTATTACCTCTCTCATATTCCTTTCCTAATCCCCTTGTCCTCTGCATCCCAGACCATGTGCAGTGAAGTTATATACAACATGAACTTTACTTCATATCAATAAAGTTGATATGATGCAAGATTGGTCACTAGGAAAGAAAGACACTGGTGAATATAAAAAGCACTTTCTAGACAACTTCTAGAAAGACTTCAGGATACAAGTCTTAGCTTGAGTCTATGAAGCAATCCCATATCTATTCCCAAGTACTTGGTATGCCAGCAATCCGCTACTGGACCCCCTACTGTTCACTCCTTGAAAGCCAATAAATACTTAGGAGATGACAGTTGGTAGTAAGGAAATCACTTTATTCAAGGACCAGCATCCTGAGAGATGGGGGAAGGTTAACGCCACCAGAATAAGACTGTGTTAGAGAGCTCAGAAACATTCACAAGTTGTTATAGATAGAAAAGATTGTAGGTCACTGGGCAGAAAGGCTACTTTCTGAGCAGGGTTTTCATTTTCTTCTGTTTGTGCCTAAAATGCACTTGAAATGATTCACAGGCCAATACCCATGATTCTTCAGACAAACATATTGTTTCCCTGAAAGTTAAACATCACTGTAGTTTAAGTAAAGAGCTGGATTAGCAAATATTTGCCATGTGCCTTGACATTATCTGAAGATCATTATATGTGCCAGATAAATAAAAACTAAAAAAATTACTAGTTAGAGACATTGTAGGACCAGTGTTTATCTAGTTCGGCTCCAGCAATTATTGTCTGAGTCACTCCAAAGTTTTGTTTAGAACTTACAACACTGGGCAAGGGGAGAATAAGAAGAATGGGTTAATAACTTTACATGGGGCAATTTGTAACAGAGGACCAGTCAAAAATAGAGATGTGTAAAATACTGTTTTACAATATTTTACAATATTATAAGTATTTATCGTAAATATTTTACAATATTGTAAAATCATTACTGCTGTTACAAAACTGTAACTGCAATGAAAAGCAGAGACCATGGCAGAGTTCACAAATCCATTCACAAGACATTCATTTCAACCACCTCTCTAGAACACAGAGATGACAGCATTAAAAACAGCGTGGCTCCATCCCATATGAAGGGTTACACTCTGGCCCTGGATACATGGGGAAGGGCCCAGGACCAGCATAGGAAGACTTGGTGGACTTTGCAGAGCCCCTGTTGAGGGCCCTACCCTGCCTGGGGAGTGGTGGGTGGATGGGGTG